TATATTAACAGCTGAAACAGACAAAATCATAAAAAAATTGACTGGTACAGATATAACAGATAGATGTTTTAACTAAAAACGTACATGACAGTTAAATATCAGTGTAAACAGTTCCTAGTATGATTATGATTATTAGGTTTAGAGCAAATACACATTTAATATCAGGCCCAAAATTGCCTTCATCTAGCTTAAATGGTTTCTTTACTGTGCATTTCACATTCTCCCTGCCTATTGCACCCTACCTTTCCCGCCCCCAATTTCTCCTAACCATGTATCCAATAAAAATAATTTGAGTTAGTTGTGCCCAAGTCCTGGGAAAATGTGTTGAGCTTGCCTTACATAGCTTAGGGATCCCACAGCAAATGATATAAAAGAAGAAATGCTCCTCCGGGTCTCTAAGGTCTGCTGCTCCTCTTTTGCAGATAAGCTAAACTTACCAAAGCACCCTCCTATGGCTATCCTGCCCCTAGGAACAGGCAATGACCTTGCCCGCTGTCTACGATGGGGAGGAGGTAAGTTTCTGGAATCAGCCTGACACTGTCCAGCCATTCAGCATGACCTCACACCATGACTTGTCATGGATCACTCCCCACTGGCCAGCCCATGTGCTACTGATACCTGCTGTCAGCTGCTTCTAACGCCACTTGCCATAGTCCATGCTCTGCGCTGCTGGAATCTATTTCTCACCAACAGCTCTTGTTTAGCCACTACTATAGAGCATGGCAGGTCAAAGTGTACACTTTACACATCTTATAATTGATTCAGCTTTATATCTAGCCAGCAAGCCCATGCTCCATACAAAGCACTAAGAGATGAGTAATTAATTTGTTTCATTTTGGTTTCATTAGAATTTGTTTCTTTGCTACATGTATGTCCCACCTTTCCTCCAAGCTAGCATGTGTACCCCCGTTCCCTCTCCCTCCATCCTCTACTACTTTTTCATAATAGTGAAGTAGGTAATTCTGACAGAGAATCATAGGCCCTGGTATGGCTGGGCAGGGTTAATCTCTCAAGTCCCAATCCAACACTATAAGCTAGTGGCACAAAATTTGAGTGTGGGAAAAAGTGAAATGACTTCCCAACCCTACAAAGTGCCACTTCTTAAGCAAGATATCATTAGCCCTAGCTCCTTTATAGGATCATAAAATAATGGTACTGGAAGGGGGTCTCTAAGGCCATCATCCCCTGCTTGATGTGGGAACCCAAGTTAAAGTATATTAACCTTGATGGCTGTCTAAGGGTGCAACTAGACAGCCCAATTATCCCAGCCTGGATCAGTCTAGAAATCAGCCATTCTCATCCTTTTGGGGGGGGGGGGCACAACCATAAACACAATATGAAATAAATACAGGCAAAATCAGTATTATATCAGTATTATATAAATTGCATAATGAACCCTATAAAATGGTGTGTGAGGGATTGTTTCCAGTTTGAGGTTCCCTTCAAATGTTCCAGGTGCTCCCAGGGGGCCATGTGGCCCTTGTTGAGAAAGGCTGGTTTAGATCATATTAAACAGGGGTCACTTTGAGGTATGGTATGTAATTGGGAGTGATCCTTGCATCCACATGCAAGGATAGTTCACAGCACACTTCAGGTTAACATGATCTAGAGACATCATCTTTCCCTTTAAAGGGAAAGGAGGGGGGAATCCTCCTCCTATTTCTTTCCTTATACTGTAATTTGCTTAAACCACTTATTGATCTTGAGAAAGGAGAAGCTTTCTTCCCACTCTCTCTCAAGAGAGAGGAAGTTTTCCATTTCTTTTTAAAGAGTTGCTAATGCATTAGTGATGCTTTGCACAAGCTTTTTTTTCAAAACATTGCTGATGCCCTGTATAAATTAATAGCAATTAAAGAATAAATGGAAAGCATTTCTCTCTCCCTTCCCCTCTGGGGGGGGGGGAACAGGAAGGAAGCTTTCCATTCCTCAAGATTATTGGGTGGCTTAAATGAAAGGGCAGGTTAAACCGTCTGCTTTGGTGTTATCCAAATAATCACACATGCTGGAACCACATCAAAATGGAGTAATCTCATTCGAAAACAAAACACAGTAGCCCGTGACAGGGCCCCCAAAAAAGATGCAGGTACGCATTGATCAGGAATGGGCTGGTTCATGATAGCATATATGTTGCATTATTGCCAGAGACAAAGTGAATCACCTCATCCCCAGCCTGGACCAAACCACAGGATAAATGCCCTTCAAATCACACCCTAACTTTCTCTTGAAGGCCTTCACTATTTGAAAGCTGATTGCCTCCTGGAGTAATTGGTGCCCTTGCACTCCTCTAATAGTTAGATTTTTTTCTGAAATTCAGCTGAAATTTGGCTGAACTTTTCAAGTATTTGAAGAGTGCTATCATATCTTCCCTCATTCTTCATTTCCTAAGGCTAAACATGCCCAGTTCTTTCAGTCTTTTTAGTCTTTCCTCATAAAGCTTGATTTGCAGTCCTATGATCACCATTGTTGCCCTCCTCTGAACCTGTTCCAGTTTGTCTACATCCTTCTTACAGTACAGTGCAGTATCCAGAACAGTACAGAGTCCTAAAGATGAGGCTTATTCCCTATTCAGCTTATGACCTCTTATTAGCTTCTGAACTCTATATGTGCTTCTTTTCTGCCTGGGTGTAGTACTAAGACACCAATTGCTATACCTTCAGTAACACTACCATTATCCCATTCATATTTGGCAACTTCCACCATCAATATCCTATTCCTCATCATTTGCCATTCCTTTTCTCGTGGCAACTTCCACCACCAATATCCTACCGTATTCCTCATCATTTGCCATTCCTTTTCTCCCTCTCTAGGGTATGAAGGAGGCAACCTGATGAAGATCCTGAAAGATATTGAACACAGTACTGAAGTAATGTTGGACCGATGGCAAATTGATGTCATCCCCAATGACAAAGAAGAGAATGGGGATCCTGTACCATACAGTATAATTAACAACTATTTCTCCATAGGAGTGGTAAGCAAGCCATTTATATGGTTTTCATTCCTGCAATTCCTCTCCTAATTTCCCTGTACTGCATTGCAGTATTTTTAGAGCTTGGAATGACTCTTCTTTTGTTATAGTTCCTAGAATCTCCTGGCTAGCCTGAATACTGGCCATGCTGCCTGATTCTAAGAGTTATAGTTCAGATGAGTAATTGTTCCAAGCTTTGCCTGTAATACCTATGTGAATCCAAGTTAGACTAGAGAATAGCCAATTGCTTTTAGAAAGCAAAAAAATTATACAACATACGTAAGTGTCATTACCTGCATTCATATTCATTTTTCTCTCCCCACTTGTCATCCACAATCAGTTAGGTTTTGCAGAATTCTTAAGTACCACCATTACTTGCAAAATGTATTTACCAAAGTCAAGATGCTGGGATATATACCCACCATTATCAATGCTGTCAGCCAACTCAACATTTGTAAGCTGGTCAACAAGTTTCTTTTTACTAGCATGCAGACATTTGCAAATGCAAGACTGAAAAGTCGGTTTTGCCCTTTGGATGAAGACTGTAAGACTTGTGGTGGCTCTTAGATCTCCATAGGAATTTATTCCTGACTTGAGATAGGAGAAGGCTCTCTTCTGCATCATCAATGTGTTTTATTTTTCGCCTAGACTGTTCTCTTTGTGAGAAGAGAAAAAAGCAATTAAAATTCTTACACTGCAGCTTATTTATTACAACATTCTATGCTTTTTGTCACCATTTAGTTCTTGAAAGGACTCTGAACTCACATCTTCTTGTGGGGAATTAAGTGTGTTGCAATCATGTGGGTAGTTAACTCACAGAAATACTATGGGATTTAGCATGTTCAGTCAGCTGAGCTTTGAGTCGCTTCACATGACTTGTTTAGATGAACTAAAGAAGACTCTTAAGGATATAGTGAAAAAGAGCACAGGTGGATAACAAATATAGTATCTGTAAATTCATGTGAAAATACTCTTGGACCACGAAGGAGCACTGGTCATAACATCCAGGCATCAACCATAGCCAGCATAGGAAAGAAAGAGCAAAATAATTGGGCTCACAAGTGATCATTCTGCTTAAATTTTAAGAGCACCTACTGAAGTCCTATATTTTAGTAAGTCCTAATAAGTATTTAAGAATAATATATTATGCTTACTATTGCTGGACCTATTTGCAATTTACTGAGGTCACAGATATGGTAGCCATAAAATCTTGGTCTTCTAGTTATTGAAACTTCATTTATTAACCCAAAGAAGTGATCTTGGAATTTGTGCAAAATGTAGAAGAGACATACAAATGGTTGAATTTGAACTCAGGGCAACCTTTTATTAGCCATATCAGCAATGCTCAATATGTTCTCACAGGTTATTAGCATATGATAACCTATCACTTGTCATACCAGTGAAAAGGAAGCATACCAAAAAGTTATTCATCAGAGAAGTACTTTGTGTTGCAGAGATTTCAACATTCTGTTCCAGTTTCCTAGTGTCAACAGTAACTCTTTGTCCTATGCTGATCTTTCCAGTCTATATACATTGGCAGTGTCAGGACGGGAATTTCCCTCCAAACACATGACTGGGTATTCTGATAAGTGTCCTAATTTACATTTAACTCTTCTCCAGTCTGGTTAGTTCTCATGGATGTAGGGCACAGGGTACACTATGATGGTCCAGTGCCTGCCATTAATTTGTCAGTACACCTTATTTGCTAATTCTATGAGCAAAAAACAAACACAGTCTGCCTTAATGAGTGTTCTTTCTTGCTAAAGCATCAGCATCAGCAGCCTGCCTGTAACTGGGATTTAATTACCTTTCCAATATGTCCAATAAAGAATTCCTTGTAACTCAATGGCTTGCATACCCCTCCACAGATAGAAATTGGGCCAATGAAAGATATCATTTTACCTGTGTTGTAGGGGTTGCTAAGAAAACCCTCACAACAGCTGACTGGTTTAAAGTTCCAATATGGTGGGAGAAACAGCTGATTAAAAAAAACATTGAAGCACTTGTTTGAAAATGTTCTCAGGTTATATTAAGGTTCCATTTATACGTGATTGATGCTTGTCATAAATGTGTTGCAGACATGAGCAGTGTCTCTTTCAAATGGCTGCAACTGTTGTACTGACCTCTTGGATTCTGTAACCCATGATTAATATTGCATTAAATAACTTTAACATTTTAATGCTCTGCAGATCTTTAAGGAAAAATGACTTCAGTGTAATATGTGGCACTATATCCATAGATCCATTGTGCATTATGATAATTTAACAAGGTGCTAGCATGGCAGGAGATGTAAATAAGCAGGCGGTGGTGCTATGGAATCTCAGTGTTGACAAGGTGCCTTTTAATACTACCATTGATGATGCTGACAGGCTGTTTCACTTCTTTGAGCCTAGACTGCCACATGCTGTTTCCCATCTCCTTCCCCTTTATTTTTGGACTGTGAGAAATGTGGGCCAACAGCTATATCACTAACAGGAAGTTTTGGATTACAAATAGATCAAGCCATGAGCTTACAAAGTCCCTGCCTAGTGACACCTCTGCACCCCATCACTGAGATGTGGGTGATGAACAGCCTGCTAATCCCTGAGTGGAGAAAAGCACATTCCTAAGACTGTCCAGATGCAGAGGCTGCAAGATAGGTCCTTGTGTTACTATTTGTGACTGCACACTCTCTGTCTCTGTCATGTGGCCATTCAGAATAACTATTTGAGTTTTATGTTCACCCAAACACAGCAGTCTTGTATTTGAGTACTTGATAAATATGGGGGATAACATGCTGTCAGCAAACCAAAGAATGCTTCAGGCAGGAGTGGGGAATGTGTGGCCTACTGTTGGCCTGCAGCTCCCCTCAGTCCTAGACAGGAAAGCCAATGATGAAGGAAGGTAGGATCTGGATCACAACATGTCCTCCACCACTGACTTAAAGCTGTCTTTGCCTTAAAGCTGAACATTTAAAGCCATGAAGGAGGTATGATTTGTGGCCCTCTAAATGTGCTTGGACTCCAGCTATCATGATCCCTCATTACAAGTTATAGAGTTAGGGGTTGGTGGGAAGTTCAGTTTGAGGATACATGGAGGGCCACAATTAGTTCATGCTTGCTCTTCAGGAATGTTTTGAGATTTTATTCATTGATTTCTAAGGTGCTTTTAAAAATCTTTTTCCACAGATTCCCTCACTGGTTTAAGGATACGTATTATCTATTTGTTTGTTTGGTTTATTTCTATACCACCTTCCCCATGGATTCAAGGCAGACTGAGCGAACAGTAGACAAGATTTATTTATTTATCTGGCCCATCTAGACAAATCTACTCTGGGTGGTAGAAGGATCCCATGTCTTTCAAAATGTTGTCGTCTAAGGGGCCTGTTGCCTTTCTTAAATAAGTCAGATACTATGCTGGCATGGGTAACTTTAGGACATACATAAGGAGAAAAGGAAAACTTTGAGAAGGTTTTTTTTTTAATGACAGAATTCAGTCCAACAACACACCAGCTGGTTGATTCTGGGGGTTGGGTTTTTTTTTAATTGCTAAGCTTCAGAGAAAAGCAAGTTTGAAATTAGCAAAAAAAACCCCAACAGCCACCAATTGCTAGAAAATATAGAGAGCACAATTTAAGACCTGATGCAACATGAAATTGGCAGATTGTAATATTTGTTTCCAGCTTCTGTCTGAATCAGAACACTGGAAAGGGTACATTGAATCTCTGGAAACTCTCACCTTTATCTATTCCTTCTGCTCATTTTCTCTCTGTCTCTCCTAGGATGCATCCATTGCACACAGATTCCACATGATGAGAGAAAAACATCCTGAAAAGTTCAATAGCAGGTAAACATCTTTCCTAATTTCAGTGTCACTGTAATGCTAAGCGGAATGTATTCAGTGAATTTTGTCAGAGCTTGGAAGCAGTACTGTTAGGACTGACCTGTTGATCTTAAAGTGATAAGATTTTTAATTCATCAAATAATTCATTAATTAACTCATAAACCTCAAAGTAACATCTGGAGTTGTTAAAAATTACTGTAGTTAGTTAGCATAGTTAGAAATAGAGATAATGTTGGCATTTTAATAATAAACAACAAATCCTAAATTTATTTCTGCAAAATTTAAGAATTTCACAAACAAATTAATTTTAACAAATTATTTTGAAGCTGTGGAACTCATGCAGGGAAAATCCATTTGCTTCTGTCCTCTGTTTAGTGGGGTGGTCATATTTCAAAGATCTGCATTTGTATTTTATTAGAATTTTGACATCTGGTAACTAGAAGTAGGTGTGTTTTTTTAAAAAAAACAACCCTCACACACTTTGAATTACAGAATTTTGAGTCCAGCAATTTGTTCTTGGTGCTACAACTGAGCAAAGGTTACAGTTCTTTGACACACAAGTCTACTCTTGATTAGCAACCCCAACCTAACCCATCTTCATCTCTGCAATTTCATTTAGATTAGAGAAAGGCCTATTGTTTTGTTGCTGCTTCCACTAAATAACTGGAAATCAGAAATCCTTACTTTACTGATCTACTCCTGCACATTCATCCAGGTCTGCCTCTGGCCCACCCTGCTCTGATGTATTCCTTGGACTGTTTTTCCTGAGTTTGGGATGGGTAGTACTGAAACAGCTATATTTGCTTAGGATGGAGCTGCTAAGGTTAATGGGCCAGAACACTGTTTGATAGCTATTGCCATTTGGCTCTGGAGGTCTGTTATATGGATGCAGAAATAGGCGGCAGGACATACTGAACTTGAGGCCCTGTCCAAACATATTCCTTGGCATTACCTGCACTGGGGGATTACTTGACTATGTCTGATTCTTGCAAGCCCAAGATATTGGGGACTCTACTAATGTGTGGCTCTGAGCTTTTAACTGCTATGGAGCAGAAATCGACAGGTGAAGCTTTACCAAGTGTGGAAACAGAAATGTCTCTCATATGATGCAGTGGTTAAATACAACCTACGTGTATTTTGTCTACTAACAATGGCCCCTCACGTATTTCCACAATAGACAGAGGTGGGAGTGTAGCCACGCAGAAGTATCTGTATAGATATACACTTAGCCAACTAACCTATCCTAGCTGCAGGAACTAGGAGCTGGGCTCCTTTTTCCATTCAGATGAATTCCCATTTCAAGGCCACTCAGGACGTCTTTACACGTTGTTGATATTTATTCCTCTTAAAAGGGCAGAGGAACTAGAGACCAAATTGCTACCGTGCACTGGATTGTGGAGAAATCCAAAGATTTCCAGAAGAACATCTACTTCTGCTTCATTGACTACGCAAAAGCCTTTGACTGTGTGGACCACAGCAAACTATGGCAAGTCCTTAAAGAAATGGGAGTGCCTTATCTATCTCCTGAGAAATCTATATGTGGGACAGGAAGCAGCAGTTAGAACTGGATATGGAACAACTGATTGGTTCAAAATTGGGAAAGGAGTACGACAAGACTGTATATTGTCCCCCTGTTTATTTAACTTATATGCAGAATACATCATGCGAAAGGCAGGACTTGATGAATCCCGAGCCGGAATTAAGATTGCCGGAAGAAATATCAACAACCTCAGATATGCAGATGATACCACTCTTATGGCAGAAAGTGAGGAGAAATTAAAGAACCTCTTAATGAGGGTGAAAGAGTAGAGCACAAAAAATGGTCTGAAGCTCAAAATCAAAAAGCTAAGATCATGGCCACTGGACCCATCACCTCCTGGCAAATAGAAGGAGAAGTTATGTAGGCAGTGAGAGATTTTACTTTCTTGGGCTCCATGATCACTGCAGATGGAGACAGCAGCCACGAAATTAAAAGACGCCTGCTTCTTGGGAGGAAAGCGATGACAAACCTAGACAGCATCTTAAAAAGCAGAGACCTCACCATGCCGACAAAAGTCCGAATAGTCAAAGCTATGGTTTTTCCAGTAGCGATGTATGAAAGTGAGAGCTGGACCATGAAGAAGGCTGACCACCGAAGAATTGATGCTTTTGAATTGATATGCCAGAGGAGACTCTTGAGAGTCCCCTGGACTTCAAAGAGAACAAAAGAAGGAAAACAACCCTGAGTGCTGAGTGGAAGGAAAGATCCTGAAGCTGAGGCTGCAATACTTTGGCCATCTCATGAGAAGAGAAGACTCCCTGGAAAAGACCCTGATGTTGGGAAAGTGTGAAGGCGAGAGGAGAAGCGGACAACAGAGGATGAGATGGTTAGACACTGTCATCGAAGTTACCAACATGAATTTGACCCAACTCTGGGAGGCAGTGGAAGACAGGAGGGCCTGGCATGCTCTGGTCCGTGGGGTCACAAAGAGTCGGATATGACTTAACGACTAAACAACAACCTCTTAAAAGGACTGCTCCTCTTAACTGATTTCAGGTGATATATACAGGTCAGGTTGCCAGCTGAATTTTCAGGAAAGTGCTGCCTTTCCCCAGGTCTCCAGACAAAGAGACAAACCTCAGAGCAAGCAGCACTGAAGGGGAAGCAATGTTGATCTTATTGTATGAGGTGAATTTACTTTCTCAGCAATGGCATCTGTTTTCATCCATTCCTAGCTAATATCAGGCCCACTGTCTCATCATAAAGGTATCTATACTCGTGGCATCTTGATGCGCCTCAGTGCCAAGCTGGCAGAAGAAGACTGGGGGCAGAAGTGAGCAAGACAAAGAGGAAAAACACCATCATTGTGACCAATACCCCCCCCCCGCCCAAAGCACACATTATTTTGCAATTGTTACACAAGGGTCCACCATGAGGGCCATGCCTCTTTGACATAACATGGACTCTGTGGTTTCACTAGAAGGCACCCTCATGTCTCAGACCGCATCTCTGAAATCTGAAGGAACAATAAGCCACTGACCTGATTATCTTTGTAATTCACTGTTCATATCTCTATAATTCACTGTTCATAAGGCCCATGTGTGAGCACTGCAGCTTTAGTAAGGAGATAGATATTTTTAGGTACATTAAAGAAATCTTGAAGAAGTTGTCCATTTACTGTACTAAGAAGTTACATTCAAAGAGTAATATTTGAAAAATTAGCAGCAGACTGGAATGCTACACTATGTGACAGGTTGCAGATGTCTGTTCTGTTGGAAAAGAATGAGAAATTGAATAAATTTGTGAAGTTGATTAGGCTGCATGAGTCAGGAATGGTTCATATCTAGGGCAGAGATGAATAAAGATCAGCACACTGAGATCACCAATCCAACTAAAATACAAAATCCATACAGATTTATGACCTGACTTGTACCACTACTTCAACTTCTTCTTTAGATCTTCATTCTAACCCAGTGATGGCGAACCTTTTTGGGTCTGAGTGCCCAAACTGAAAAAAATTAAAATAAACCCAGCGGGCAAAAGGCGGTAGCAGAACTGGAAGTGGCAGCAGAAGGGGAAATCTCAGGCACGGAGGTGCCTTGAGACCCCACTCCAGATCCGCCACCAGCACCGGCTACTCCAGATCCTGGCCCGCTGCCTGTCAAAGCACCAGCACCGTGGCTGCAGCCACTTCCTGAGGATTGGCTGCAGGGGGGGGAGTAGCAATCTGGCAATTTATGGCTTGCGTGCCCACACAGAGGGCTCTGCGCGCCAGCTGTGGCATGCGTGCCATAGGTTCACCATCACTGTTCTAACCCATCTGTAATTGCAAATTCTTCCTGGCAGAAAATTTTGCTTCACCTCGCTTTCTGATACATGGTGTCCAAGGAATGTACAGATTCCCAGTATTTGTATCTAAAATTCTCTTTAAAAATCCACTTCTCCTCTGTATGACAAGGTTCTCTTGGAGAAACCTCTAACAAATCTCTAAGAAATGTTTACAAAATTACTTCTCTGCTGCAGTTTTCAGATTAGGAAACTTCAAGTGGGAAGCACTGTAGCATTAAACTCAGCCCCTGTGCATGCAGTATTTAAAATAAATGATGCTTTCAGAAAGGACAAGATGTAGCAGAGAGTCAGGGAGGAAAACACTGTGCTAAGCAAGACAAGAGAGACATTGTATGAACGGCAGGGTAAATACTGATAACATCAGTACAGAACTCAATACTTTAAGAGAGACAAATGTTTTATCTAGAAGAGGTTTGAGTGGCACTTCCTTTTAATACTAAAAGTATAATAGAAAGAAACTCATTTCTCTCCATGTAGCAATTTACCATGTCAGATCCATGGACATGCAGTTCTGAAACAATGTGGGCTACACCATTTTGAGATCTATGTACTCTCAGCATGCTCCCCATTTTTTGCCATCTAACCCAAGGAAGACTTTTGGAGAACTCAAACACTTGCATATTTATGAATTTACAGATGATCCTAGTAAAAGAATTACCCGCCTATAGATTTTACTTTTCTTGCCATGGATCCACAAAAGGGGGGGGGAGTACAGCCCTATAATTTCTTTGGATTGGACATTAAGATTCCAGGAACCTCACTGATGGATTAATTTCTCACTAGGCAAAATAATCCATGAATCTGAGTCAGAGGTTTTGGTCCATGCTTTGCCCTCAGACAGTTTCCTGGCCTTTTTTTGAAGCTTCAACCTTCCATAGAGAGCTACCCAATCTACTCACTGTTTACCTTGTTAAGCCTACTCACCTCTTACTTGTGGCCTATTCTGGTTAACCATGGATTTCCTCTTCAGCACCCTTAGCCATTCACATGTGGTCTACACAATTTTAGTCCAGAAGCAATTTGGGAATTTACACAGCAATTGAATAGGATGTTAGGATATTAAGTGTAAGCACATAAAAAAAATCTAAGTCATGGTTTTTAAAATTGTGTTCTAGGGATTCTTTACAAGATTTTAAGAATTCCTCAAAGAGAACCAGAAGGTACTTTGGTAACA